GAGTCGCGCCCGAACCCGAACACGGCGAGGAACCCCCTGTTGTCCCACTGCTGGTGCGGGATCATGCCGCGGTCGCCGTCCCCGCCGATGTGCTGCCGGAACGCGAGCCGGCTCTCGGTGATGTTCTCGACGGAGTGGTAGTAGAGCCCGGTGGCGACGATCCGCTCGTTGAGCATCCCCTCGACGTGCCACGAGCCGCCCGGGTACGTCGGTCGCTCGGGAGTGAGATGGATGTTCGCGAGCTTGACGATGACTTGCACCGTGCGGCCCCGGAGGGTGAAGGAGACGCGGCCGTCGTGCGGGGGCGGGGCGAATGGCGGCGGCTCGGGCACAGTCGGCCACATGTGCAGCCTCTCCCATTCGCTCTCGGCTTCGTACAACGCGTCCACGTCCTTGATCTCGGAAGGATCTGGTTGCGGCGGTTCCGGGACGTCACGGTACCAGAGATGTACGAAGTTTTCGAGATTCAATGCAGAGAATGGCAGTGGCCGGTCAGACGATACCGTGTCCTCGAGCACGCGGTCGAAGAGGGGTACAAAGCGCGCCAGGATGCGCTCGAGTGCATTATAGAGGGGCCGGTGCCGGATAGGGTGCAAGTTGTTGATGTAGCCGAGTGCGGAGACGGCCCCGGTCTCGGTGACCTTGAAGTCGGTGGGGAGCCACTGGTAGGCGGGCGACGCTTCGCTCTCGAAGCTCCCTATGTCCCACCGTTTGGTGACGTAGTCCTGTTGAGAAAGGATCCCAAGAGAATCGTCCTTGCCGTCCTGGGAGGGTGGGCGGAACAACGAGCGGCCGATGCAGAGACAGTAGAGGGAGGGATGGACAAGGTCGAGAACCTGCCGATCGGTGTTCGGGTGCCAGTCTTTCTCGTCGTCAGGGACGTCTTCCAGTACAGAGACGGCATGCACGAGCTGCTCCTTGAGGATTGGGTCGATGAGGGACTGGGACTCGTACACCTTCGGCACGCAAGAAGCCTAAATCCGACAGTGTAAGCGAGAAGCAATTCAAAGGAGCAAACGCCACTTGCAAACATTCCCGTGTTCGGATCGCGCACTGCAGCCTCATACTTCAGCTCGTCGAAGATGTAGGCGAGCTGTTCTTCGGACAGCGAGTCGCATGGCCAAAGCTTGATCCGATCAGAGAGTACCGAAATATGCCATTCATCCCGAACGTCGTACTCTTTGTCTTCGAGTTTGACGTACTGCTGTCTGCGACGCTCCCCGCCCCAGAAGTGCTCGACCTTTGCGAGGTCGTCCGCGACGATCTCCTCGCGGTACTTGGCGGCGATAGCTGGATCGTTGATCTTCTCCCACCAGCGAGGCTTGGCGCGGATGGCGCCCGAGTATTGGCGCATGCGGAGCTCGACGAGTGTTATGGGGTCGATCAAGGGCCTGTCGAAGGGGGTGGGGAAGTCGGGGCAGCCCTTCGCGTCGAACGAGTCTGGGATACACTTGGGCACAGACGAGTACAATCGTCGTTGGCACGGACCGTCCTTGTTCCGAAACTTGCAATCAAAATGTCTGCAAAAGCCCAGGCGGGCCCACCTGACCGAATTGTTTGGCAAAACGGATTCGGACTCGGACGCCCTATCCAACCCATCGGTCCGAGCGAGAACGGTGAGTAGGGAAGAGCACAGACGCTGCCTACCACTCACCAAGCGGAGAACATCGGAAGTAGCTGCGGGGTGGTCAAGGGGTGTGTTTTGGAGTGAGGGCGTTGTTGCTCATCGTGGTTCGAGTCCAAGGGAGGTCCCGGCGTCTTTCTCCTGTCAACCTCGCGCCACGGCGACGTCATGCCCCTGTGGCAAAAGGAATCGCTCATTCTCGTCGCTCACACCATCGCGGGTGGTAGGTACGCCCAGAAGACACAGGAAAAGATCGCGCTAGCCTGCCTCGGCTCGGCTCCTTCAAGCGTCCACTGAATTCTGCGCGCCCACAGCCCCCTTGCCCATATCGCCCATCGGGTAGGTGTCGCGAGCCGACACTGCATCGTGCAGGGTGCTGTCTAGCGTGGAGGTGTCCCCGGCCCCGATGGTGAACGACCCGTCGAACGTGTTCATCGCCCTTGCGAAGACTATGGAAATGACGTTGCCTTGCCCGCCCCATGTATCCGTTAGGTCTGTTCCGCTGGAGATGAGCTTGATCGAGCGTGCATTCGACGCTTGCAAGTCTATGAGCAGGTGTGAGACGAATATCGTGTTTAAGCTGTAAGAACAGTGTGAGTGAGAGGCAGCAACATGAGGACGAGAGCTTTACGGGTCGGTGAATGTGAGAATGATGCTGAAAGCATCCGTGGCAGACTTTCCGACCTGTTTCATCATTCAGTCAACAGGCTATAGTGATCGCGAATATCACCTCACATTGGCAACTGTGAACGTGACATGCAGCAGGTTCAAGACGAGCAATATGCTAGGGTCAATATCAGCCCCGATACGTCACTGACACATTGTTGATAACTGACAAGAAGTATAATGTGCCTTTATAATAAAAATGTCAGCCAATTGCTCCATAGGGACATATGAACAGTCTCACCATCTCGCAAGAGTATCTGTGCCAACGACCGATGAGGTTCAAGTAGGCTGTGCCAAGTGACGAACTCTTGATCATATAGCCTACGCCACGTTACCAGAAGCAGGATTGCTTCTGCGCCGACGACACACGAGCGGGAAAGGATGGTCACTAGAACAAGCGCATGAGATGAGACACAGGACGGGGAGCGAAAGCAGAAGACCGCATACACCTGCATATTAGGCGGTAAGTACGACTCTCAGCTCATGTATGCGTGGGACGTACTGTACTGGGACCTCGTCGGTCGGGTACGTGAGCCAAGTGGAGCAAGAGCCGTCGTCGTCTACCATCCCACTGACGCCCATGACACCTTGCGCCTAAGGTGGAAATACGGATCAGATCCACGAACGCGGGATCGTGCTCGAACTGACCATATTACAGAAGATCGGCATCATAGACAACACAAAAACGACCGTTGAAAGGGCCAATTTCTGACACAGCGCATACGTGCGCATACAGTTGAACGCTAAAAATTCGGAAATTGTCAGTGACGACTAGATCCATGACTTCGTCTTAAGAGCAACGCACCAGCCCAGGGAAAGTACACCAGCGAAGTGAAACCCCAAAGCGTGCGTACGTACACATCACAGCTAGAATGAAATGAAGTCACACATTAGTCCCGCGTTCTTGGATCGGTGAGCTTAATATTCGTACTTCTGCACATCGTCATGTCGGCATTCAAAACGGTCGTAAAACTTCGTAAACCAGCTGAACTCGCACTCACAAACTGCCCGTGAACGTCAACATACACTAATATGTAGTGCAGGACGTGAAGATATCTGTTCGCGAAGAACAAGAATGTTGCCCCCGAGAGACCAGAACCTCGCCAGAAGTAGTCAATCTCTTGGCGTATCGTGAGCAAGTAATCGTAAAAGAAGAGGGCTGAAGGAGATGCCTTTCGTCAAAATCACGGCTTTCAGCGGTATCAGATCGACGTACTGAGAGCGACGGCCGGAGCATAGCCCGAAGGACTCGTCGGAGTGGGCCACATCACTTGCTACCTGTTCATTAAGAGGCGGCGGTCCTCGCCGGGTAGGGCCACAACGTGGCGTGGACGGTCGGGGTGCACGACGGTAGGAGTAAAGGCGAGCCGGTCGGTGTTTAGCTGCATCAGCAAAGGGCGTATCTTCTTGTCACGCATCGCGGGGTCTGACCGCGCTCGGCGCTTCCTGATAAGGGCATACCGTCTTTTGTCTGCTAGACAGCTGATGGTAATACATGGCAATCAATTGTCTGCTCTACTATTGCTTGCAGAGCATGGCATACGGAAGATGGACCAACGCCCGCAAGACGATAGTTTGACATGTATGATAACGTATGGTGAGATGGGAATACTGGTTGGCACATTATATATATTGCACACTCCTATCGTGCATTCCGCATGGCTCGCGAGCGCGCGGTCGAGCATGCGCACTGGCGGGCAATGGGGCCGTGGCCGTCGGCGCGCTGGCCCAGACGTCGACGAAGGTGAGGGTCGGGTGGGGCGGGAGGCGGTCCGCGTCCGAGACGTCGTTCTCGCGGCCCTCGAAGACGAGGTGGCGGAGGCGGGGGAAGAGGTGAGCGCGGAGCACGCCCGCCTGGACGCGCGTGACGAGCGGGAGGACGAGCGCCGTGGCGGCGTGTCGGGCGTGCCGTCGGTGTGCGTGGAGGCGGCGGTCGAGGCGTGCCGCATGGGGCGAGTCGGGGCGGGGGCGGTCGAGGCGGTCGACATCGTACGCCTTTGAGAGGTCGAGCTCGACGAGCTCGGGGAGGGAGAAGGGCTCGCGGCCGGTGGGGTGGTCGACGTTGTTCGCGAGCGTGCGGAAGTGGGCGAAGTGGGCGAGGACGTGGAGCGCGTCGTCCGGAATCGAAGGCTGAGCACGGCTTGAGCTGCCTGGAGGGCGCTGTTGGCTGCGCGCTCTGCTGATTCCGGACAACGCACCCAGAAGCGCCGCATCGCGATAGGCATGCATAGTTTTAAATACTTTGTTAGGGTGGTGGTAAAAGCGGAGGCCCATGATAGATGGAGGTGGGGGCCATTGCGCGCGTTCAGCGCCTGCGCAGACAATAAGACGCGTCGGCGCGGGCTGCGCGTCTACTGAACGCCTCCCGCAACCGCCATCATCACTCCTGGTGCCACTCGCCTCACAGTCAGGTATATGAAGAGCACATACCTGGTGCGACATCTCCATCCCCATTTCCTCCTCTCATTTGATCACGATCTTCCCCAGCCTTATGCAACGCCCGGGGTGAGTCGGACACGGCCACAGGTCCCACCACACCCCGGGTGGCAGGTGGCTCAGAGAATGGGATCAGGCGCACACCGGTACGTAGCCCAGTCATGCGAATGTGTCTATCTGAGGTCCAATCACGCGATCAGGCTACCCTTGGTGCCTCCAGTCGGACTCACAGCAAGCGCCCCGTTCCGGCTCATGTCCCGCCCCTGCCGCTCCAATGCAGCCGCTTCGTCGCGCCGATGGTCCTCGTCGCCCCCTCTTCTTGCACCCGGATAAGTACGTCTTATTCTATATCTCTTTGTGTTGATGAATGACTAGTCGCTCAGTTACTGCCAGAAAGTCCTTGATGCGAAAATCGAGACTTTCGAGGCCAAAAATTACTTTACTGCAATGTACAACCTCTGTGAGGTCGACCCGACCAGGCCACGGGCTCGAAAAGGGCTCCTCAAGGGCGAGTTGATACTCAAGGTAAGCGTCAGGTTTGTACCATACGACTCAATTAACAGTTACATATTGTTACCAGGCTTACTGGCAAGGCCTTGTACGGCAACCCGACGGCTGCGATCCGCGGCGATGCCGGCGGGTTTCTCACTCGGAAGCAGCCGGGCCAGAAGTCCGTCGCCGAGAAGACCAACGTGGATGCCGACAGCTTCACGCTGTACTCCGTCGTCGCTACAGCAGCGCTGGTGAGCTCCTCGGCGACTTCGTGTGGCGTTTGCTGATGTGTATTGCGTCAGGTTCGCTTCTACGTAACAAGTGAGCCAACCTGGAGCGACACCGATGGGCGCTGGGACGTCAACGATTTCGTCAACGGTTTACTCAAGTCAATGCGGCAGAAGCCCAACTGGGCTATGAAGCTGAGGTCTTGGTGAGTCAAGTGAGTATCGCTTTTCCGTGCAGTCTCACTGCTCATCGAGACGTCGACTGACTTATACTACCTCAGAGAGCTTTTTGGGAACGGCCACGAAAAGTGTGCAGTCCGTCCCCCGACCACTGCAGGCGATCAGATGCTTGAAGAGAGCGACAACGAAGCGGAGACCTGCGACATCGATGAGCCTTTCAGCGACGCGTCGGGCGGCAAGGATTGAACGGTATTTATTGCATGCGCTTATCTCCGGCAGCACTCACTCATCGTCTCGTCTTACAAACTCCGATGGGCGTTCAAAGTGCGGAAAGCTCGCGATTGAATTTTGTTCTTGCGTCTCCATACCTCCAGTAGTCTCGTACTATATCTGTCATTATCTGATAGCTTCTTCTGAATGATTACTGTGTGTTTTAATCGACCACTATCCAGCCTGTGTGTGCTACAAGATGCGATCTTACATGCCAACCTATGACAACGGTCTGAAATCATTGCGTCAGATTACCATGTCCCGCCTTGTGTATGATCGGACAACTACCATGCGTGCAGCCAGGTATTGCCATCGTCTCCCTCGTGTATTGCCATCGGCCCCCTCGTGTATTACAATGCGCGGCGGGAGAAGACAATTGTCCGACCAACCGGCGTCTAGCAGGCGGTAGATTGCCATGCCAGACGACCGATGGCCGTCTACGGCTACCACCCTGTAATACGTGATATGTCTTGTGATTACTTACCATGCAATACGGCCGTTGATCACGCACTGCAACGCATTATCTTCAAATCCCCCGTTTTGCTGATGTGGGTGTTATCTTATGTGTTCCTGTGCCGATCGAGGCTCTCCGAGAACCAAGACCCGAAACCCAAAATCAGATTGTACCTCGCCCGGCCCGAGAACCCTGCCGTTCCATACAGTTGAGACCTTGAGGGGGTAGAAGCCAAGTGAATGACGTGCTCGACTGAAGAATCAGGTGAACGTTTGAACGTTAATGTCAGCTGGGCGAGATCGGACACGAATGCTGTGTGCGATAGATTAAGAATACTTATATATACACGAAACACGTCAACCTACAGTCCCAGCTGCAGCTGGCGAGCAACCCTTCTTCATACAATGACCACGCACACCCGACCACAAACTCGGTGTGCAGATCATGAACTTATGGCAAGCAGGTGTGAACCTCCCGGCTGCGGTGCCGTCATCCATCTGCATCCCTTGTCGTAAGCCCGCTACAATCACCGCAGTATACAAGAGCATACAGTCGAGCGGAGTTGAAACACTCACATTCGGCAGGTCTTGGCGTAGCCCGCGCTCGCGAGCACGTTCACCCGGTACGGGCTCCACTGCACCTTCCTTATCGCGTACTCGTGACCCGCGAGGTGCATCTCGCATACATACCCCTCCCACTGCAGGTTTCCCCGCGGCCTCACCCGGACCATGCTTGACCATGCGACAGTCCCAAATCTTGACAAACGGGCGGTACTTGTTCCAGTCGAGCGAAAGCACCTCCCCTCCTGATGTGGGCACAGTGAGCGCGGGCGCAGTCAGGGGCGCAGCGAACACGTTCGCGCCCGGGGTCGCGGGCATATACGCCGGCGCGCGGAGGTCGAAGGTGCCGTCGGTCGAGAACGTGGCAGTCACGTCGGGCTGGTGCGGGGAGAAGATGGCTTGATAGACGCAGGAGGTGTGGGCTTGGAGCGCGGTGAGAGAGCGAGGGCGTTCTGGTGTCCACTATGCGAAGGTGGGTAGGGGCACTAGTGCGGCGAGAAACCGTGCAGGACGTACGAGCTTCACTGTCCCGTCCCACAGCGATAAAACGAACTGGTCTTTGTTGATGTTTAATCAGTCGATTGAAAAATACTTCGTGCGAGTGCTCTTGCCAGGCACGTATTGGAAAGTCTTAGGAATTCTTGCGGAACTTGGGATCTGGAGGCCGCACTGGGGGAGTTACGATGGCGACATACCTTGATCATGACATCCCATAGCTTTGTTGACCGATCTCCTGACCCACCCGGCTGGTTTTCGTGAATCTCCGACCGCGCAGCATCGTATGGCAGGCCATCCTTGAAGCGCTCAGGTACGGCAGACCCACAGCACGCAAAGTACTCACAACTGGTCCAGATTTACTGAGTTTGTTTCCGGAGGACTTGATCCAAGATATGCCAAGGGTAGTCTTCCGTAAGTTCCTACGAGGCCATAATAGTTTGCGGCGGAGGCGATGGCAATCCGCCCATTGTGAAAGGGCGACCAGGTCATGCCATAATGCGCGAAGCAAGGCGTATGCATTGTGGCCGATTGGGGCTGTTTCATGAGACTTTAGACCGAAGGCAGATGAGAGAGGTATAAAAGCGAAAGGTTGCAGTGGTGGAAGCGATCGAGAGACTCGCCGGCCCGGACATTGGATTAGCGCCAGTCACCACAGCACCAAGTTCGTGAGTACTTTACCGGCTTGACCTTACCCTCTTCCTTACCCTTTCTGCTGGTCTCTTTACACTCTCATGATCATTCTGGGATATCCTCGCGTAGGAGTATTGAGGACGAATCCGAATGGGACGTCGACGCTTTCACGGCCCTCTCACTCATGGCAAACGACCCTCCAAAAGAATCACGTGGGTTCTTGGACACAGTGTACGCTCTCGGTTGATCTCAAGTTCGTCGGAGTCGTCGCTCAGGGCATGTGGTTGAACTACGACCACGCGGGGCGATAGCCCAACCATTCTGGTACATCAAGAAGATATGGTACGTCAGTGTCTGTCTTTGCGACGGATACTTGTCGTGGACGTGCATATGTCTATGTAAACACCATTGAATATCGACCAAACACTTACCCTCGTGCTCAGACTTGCTCTGCTCTGAAACGCGGACCACTCATACCCTTTGTGGAGTAAGATTGGCCTCCGAAGCAGTGTTTAGAGGCCTCTCCGAAACGCCGCGTCTGTCAGTACGCGCCTAAACTACATATGTGAGGCACCGAACAACATTTCGTCTACATATTGACATCAATACAGGCAATGCCGGGGCCTCGAGTTGCACTTAGGTGGACCGCCCCTCATTCGAGTACAGTCTCGTTTCTTCACCACTCCTGCTCCAGCGTGTTGACGACTTTCCGCGACACCATCACGAACCACGCCCTCCTCCCCGTCTCCGGATCGATTCCCAGCCATCTTCTCTCCGTCGGGCCCGGTCTGGCGTCAGATACCCCGTCTTCCCGTACAACCGCTTCGCGATCGGGTCCCCCACATTCAGCCTGAGCGCACGCTTGAAGCTTGACCCCCTCCGCCGGCCCCGCGTCCGCCTCGGTGTAGTGTCGTGGACCATCGCCTCCGTCACGTCCTTCCTCCGCGCGCGGGGCGCGACGAACGCGCACCGCACCGCGGCCATCCGGCGCGTGAACCGGCCGAGGACGGCGAACGCAGCGGAGGGCGCGCCGCCCTCCGCGCCGTCGCGGCAGATCCACACGCGCCGCGGCGCGGGTCATGCCAGTCCCAGGACTCGGCCAGAAAGGCGATCAAGGGCGGCGTGAGCGCGTCGAGGTCGTCCGCAGTCGCGATGATCGGCGCGTAGGCGGAGGCAGCGATGCGTCCGTGGCGTGGGTGCCGATGGAGGGGTAGAGGGAAGGGGTCCAGGTGAGCGTGCCGAGCCCGCGGGCGTGGAGGAGGGCGGGCCAGGCGGGGGCGAAGGCTTCTAGTATTTCTTGCTGGCCGAGCATGTCATTAAGGGCAAGAGGATCTTTCGGCGAGGCGTGCGGCTGCGGCTGCGAGGGCTTCTTTAGGAGACAGGAGATGGTGGGTGGTAGTGGACAGCATGTTGAGGTCAATGCAGAAATTCATCCATCCTTCGTCGTGCTCCTTGCTTGCGGTGAACACTGAAGAAAGCGGGAGCGTCAGCGGAGGCAGCCTTCAAAAAATACGAAGCGTTCGTTCGAGCGTGCCATACTGACCCCTTAGGCCTTACATGCATAGAGGCGTGTTACCAGAGCCAGCTTCGCAGATTCGACGCGTCAAATTGGGAGTGACGTGAACTTGGGTGGGTCGGCTTTGGGTTATGGGTGTGGATACTGCCGATCTCCTTGCCAGGATGTCTGTGGTTCATGGGAGCGAGCTAAGCCTGGCACAGCCTGTCGAAACCGTGGAATTCACCGAGATATCCAAAAAGATTTGTCCGCCTACGCATGAGTCGACCCAGGCTCGAACTGAGGACCTTCTGTGTGTTAGACATATGCGATAACCAACTACGCCATCGACCCATGACAGCAATGCGGTTGCATATTGTGGAGACCGCAAAGACATTTACGTTCGCACAGATCGGGATCCATCCTGCTCCCACAAGCCTATATATATGCGGCCGCGTCTAAGCCAGACCGCCCATTGTGTTCAATCCGTCACCAGAGCCACCGGAACGACGCCATAATGCCCTTGGCGAGACCTCCACCAACTCCTCTTGTAGATCCAGGCTCCCGCGACTCCTCGGATTGCGAGCCGTCGCCCAAAAAGAATGTGTTCGCGATACACCAAGGCTACTCCCAGATTCTCCCTCGTCTCTACCTTTCAGGGTACCTCGCAGCGATCAACGAGCAGCAGCTGCGCGACATGCGCGCGACGCACATTCTCTCCATCCTCGAGCTCGCTCCGCCCTTCCCGCCCGCGCTCGTCGACGATCTCCACACGATGCACGTCTGCCTGGCCGACGACGACGACGCGGACATCCTTTCCCATCTAGGCGCCACGACCGCGTTCATCGCGTCCGCGTTGCAGGCCGAGAACAACGTCGTGCTAGTACGTGCTCCTCCACCGGCCCACTAGCTACGGCGCTCTACATGCTGTGATTGTCTGACGCTGATCATGTCGTGTGCCGCTGCAGGTGCACTGCGCGATGGGCATCTCGCGCTCCCCGGCCGTCGTCTGCGCGTATCTCATCGCGACCGAAGGCATGACCCCGCGCGACGCGCTCGACTTCTGCCTCTCCAAGCGCGACATCATCGACCCCAACTTCGGCTTCCGCCAGCAGCTCGAGCAGTTCCACGCCGCGCGCGTCCGCGCTGCGCCGCCGCCTGGCGCCGGCGTCTTGGAGGTGCTGCGGGCGATGGGCCTCTCCACAGACGAGCGACGACATTCTGGGGTGGGAGCGCGACGGGGGAAAGCGCAGCGTCGGGCTGATCGCGCGCCCGTCGACTTCGTTGGATAACTTGCATCCGTTCATGACCGAGTTCGGCACTAATACTGTAATACTTA